TTGGAGAAATATTCTAAATATATGAAGGGTACACAAAAGATTTTTATGTTTGCAATGCAAAATAATAATTATTACAATAATAATTTCTTGGAATTAGAATATTCACTAGTGGCTTTTAAGTTCGATTGAACTAAAATTATATAGAGCTAATTAGATAACTAGAGTTTAATTAACAATCTATCAATATCATCAGTATCTTTCGGTAAACTTATTTTTATTTTTTATAAACGTAGTTTAGATAGTTATTGAATATTTATTGCTAATTTGATATTTTTTATCTAGACATGAATAGATTTCGAATGAGTGAATGGTTGCGCCTAAAAGTGAGGGTATGTTAATGTCCAAGAGAGCTTAAAATGAAGTGGCTGTATGGTTTGTTAAAGTTATCTGGTAGGTTAAAAAACTGATAAAGACAAACAACTGTTTATTGTAATAAAATAAAAAATTTTCATATACCAAATAAATGATAATAGTTATTTTTATTTTTTATAAACGTAGTTTAGATAGTTATTGAATATTTATTGCTAATTTGATATTCTTTATCTAGACATGAATAGATTTCGAATGAGTTTATGGTTGCGCCTAAAAGTGAGGGTATGTTAATGTCCAAGAGAGCTTAAAATGAAGTGGCTGTATGGTTTGTTAAAGTTATCTGGTAGGTTAAAAAACTGATGAAGACAAACAACTGTTTATTGTAATAAAATAAAAAATTTTCATATACCAAACAAATGATAATTTTTTGTTAAAATGAAGTGATATTTGTTCTATAAATAATATTAAATATACACAAAGTTTTATTTTAATTTAGTTATGAAATCACTTAAACTGATTAGTTTATTCATAAAGAAAAAAGCTTTTATAAAAATATAAATAAATTTAATTTCGAGAAAGTTTTTGGTTTTTATAGTTAAACTTTTAGTGTATTTTATCTTCTAAGACGTTTATATACTATATATATATACGTTTTCATCACTTATTCTAATAATAGCAAAATATGATAAAAATATTTATAAAAGAATTTATTCATTTCATTTCATATGTTATTAAAAGTTATAAAATATTTACACGTACACGTAATATAAAAAATATTTTTAGGAAGTTGTCTTCTTATCTTGAACGAGTACATTAGAATTATTTTTGCTGAAATAACTGAAAATTCTAAAGACAAGCTAGACAAAGGTTAAACGTGATTCTATTAGCGATTATAAAGGTCAATTAGTTTTATTTACAGATGAAAACAGATGAAAACAGCTAACGAAGTGCTGTCTGAACTTGTATTAAATAATATCGAACATTGTTTATTATAAAAATAAATCTTTCATTTGAGTTAATACTTTGAAGCTCTTCGTTATTTATGAGTACGTATTATAGTTTGTCCATCAATAACACAAACTTTAACAAAAATTAACAAACATTTTTAATATAAAAACACTTTTTCTGTAAATAAAATAAGTAAACTAAAGACGTCAGTCAATGCACATAATTTTCCTTCTCTTATCAACATGGCAAACTGTAAAAATGACTGTAAATTATCACATGTCCCTTAAATATCCTTGTCCATTGTGCTATATACGCATAATCTCAACAATAAATATGCACAAAACTTTATTATTACATTATTATGTAAACAGGAATCCCTTAAATCCTCACTAAACATTGGAAGCGACAACAGCAATAGCAGCAATAACGTTTAAGGACGAAATAAGGACACCCACTTTGGTTACATAAACGAAATGTCGACCAATGCTTACAAAAGCCAACATTTTGTGCGGCCATTGAAGACAAACATTTTGTGACAAATTTATTTTTTCTTGAGTGCCTTCTAAACAACAACAACAACAACAACAACAACAACAACAGGAGCTATAGATACAGCCACAGCCACAGCAATAGAAATAAAAACGAAACTATCCTTCCAGTATCCTAGTTTAATTTTTGTAAGCTTATAAAACAACAATGCCGAAGATGACAAGGATACTAAATTCACTCGATAGGGTATAGCATTTGATAGTATATTTATAGTATAGTTTAAATAGTAGCACCTCTTCGAGGAAGGTTTCCGCACGCCACTGTGCTCTGTTGGCTTGTATATCCTTATGGCTTATGAAGAAATGAATGTTGGCTGCAGAATAACATGACATTTGACTTGATATGATTTGTTTATGTCTGATTTATTTACGTTTGATATTTTGTAAGCAAATCAACATGAAAGCCGCATCAAGGATAACAAAAATAATAAATAGCAAAAAGCAAATAGCAAATGGCGCAGTGAAAATGAAAAGATGCTGCACAGGATATGACTGCAAACAATTTGCTGGCAGGTTATGTAACTTAATATTACGTTATGGTCCGAATAGCAGGACTTTATACCAAATCCATGTGGGATTTTTGCAAAGTTGAGCTTATGCACATGTCAAGATTTAAACATATTTTTTCCTCACTTTTCCTCACTTTTTCTCACTGCTTGCATTTGCATGGCACAATCGGATGTGCTTTTTTCTTCCTTGGATCTAATATGGGAGCTGTCCGCCACTATGGTTTTGTTTTGTGTTGCTATTATGAAAGGATGTTAACAGTAATATTTCTTGATTAATAGGGAATCATTGTTCATTGCTGAAATATCATTCCATCACAGCTATGACAGAATTTGTTAAGTTGGGTAAAATAACAACGCGAATAACAACGAATACATGCAATAAATTAATTAATTATAAACAACCTTGCGCTAAGTTTAAGTAATTTATAATTATTTGTATAAATAATAATATTAATAATCAATAAAATTATCCATAAAAAGGTAATAAAGGTGGTAATAATATTTTAAGCATTTATTAAAGAATTCTTGCCATCCTAAGCTGCATGATGTGATCTTCACTTTAATGGAAAAACAAATTTTTCGCCAAAAGCGAGGAACTACTTAATATTTTAACACTAATTTATTTTATGTATTTCATTTAATTTAAGCATAAATATATATCGTAAATTTTAAATGTTCATTTTATATTTCTGTACTTGTCATTGGGTAGATTTTCTAGTCTGATTCTATATGAGCAACGGCATTGACATAGATGTTCAGGCATCTCTGCGCCTTCGGACACCACTTCACAAGATCTGTTTTTGTTGTGGGTTGACAAATAGAATATTTAGTTAAAGCGCAATCTAATGGTGAGTGCTTCTAAGATTAACAATATCTTTAAGTAGTAAGAAATCATGGGTTGAGCCTTGTAAATTAATGTTAGCCCATAAAAGTTTTGCATCACAAACACAATACTAAACTAATCTAAAACTTTATTTCTGACAAATGTCAGAGAAATTTAAAGTGAATTTGTGTTATATGTAATCCAAAGAATTTTCTATGAAACCCTATCTAAAGCTGCTTCAGATAAACTCATTTAACATATGACCTAACTATACAAAATGGGACCAATAAAATAGATGGGCTGGTCAAATAATAACAAATATAACTACTCTAAACAAATTATATACTAGATTTTTACTAATTTAGCTATTATTTATCTAACAGTTATGTTTATATTTGCAGAGAATCTATCTTTCAACAACTAATCTATTAGTTAAATAGTTTCATTTCTTCATTAGATGGACTTTAAAAATTAAATTAAGTACGGATAAAAGTATTTTCTTTTTATTTATTGCTAAACATATTAAAATGCCTTTTACGTTACCAATATTAGTTAAAACCTCGTACGCTTCAGCTTCGTTAGCTCCAATAGCTCTTCAACTATCTAGCATTATTAATCTATCTATTTAGTGATTTTAATATGAATTAGCGATAGCTAGTGATAAAATAAATGAAAGTAAATCATTAAAGACCTCTATCAGAAAAATATGATAAAATTGGACGTAAGAACTAATTTATACAAGCATCTATTAACCATTTTAGACTAGACAATATATATGGTAACTTTAAAGAGTATTGAAACAAGGTGCTTCTACTGTTAAGATCACGTAAAAGCCAATGCTATAGTGTAAAGAATCTTGTTTTGACTTAGTTGCTATTAATTATGAGATAATGGGAATATGAGCATACTATTAAATGCTTTCTCTGTTGGTGTTCCACACATAATAAAAAAAAATTGATAACAGCTTCGATAATTCAATACTTGGCCATTTTTTTTACCAAAGCTTCACTGTTTTGTTACATTTACTCTTTGGTTCAAACCTACCTACTTAATAAATATGTAATTTTTTTTTAGTCCAACTGTTAAATAATAGATAAGTTAAGATGAAATACTAATTAATTAGTATCATATATAATATATAATACTATATATAAATTAAAATTTTAAATTTAATATTGATAGTATAACATATATGCAAAATAGTTAGGAAGTTATTGAAGTTATGGTGTCAACTATTTTTGGTGATAATATGATATCAAAACTATTATTTCTTGCAGGTTATATCTATATATAGTATTTAAGAGCTTAGATGAAATTTGTTTATTTAAGTGGGAAGTTCATTGAAGCTTTATAACATTACATGATTTAACTGCTAACTAGTTAATTATATTTATCATAATATACTATATACTATAGGTACTCTAATATAAAATGACTATCCAACAGATAAAATAAAACATAAATCTTATTTTTTTATCAAAATCTTTATCATATTCTTGCCACTGCTATTGGATAATCCTTATCAAATTTGTTATATCCAATTATATGTTATTTTATATTCTAGATATGATATTTATATATATTTATATGTGTATATAACCATTAAGTTCAGTTTCATTCTATCCTAGAATGAATTTACTATTTTCATGTTTTATCCTTGCGCACAATGTTGTTGACTTAATAAGTTTCACCATAACCTCATTTGTTGAAATCTAATTTTTGTTTATTTCGGCACATCCACATATGAAACACATATTGTATTTAATAAAAACTTTTCAATTAATGTGTTTTTACTAGTTTTTTTCTTAAATTTGTCTTTTTAAAAAAGAAATTTAAAAATGAAAAAATGTTTGTACTCACAGCAAAAATGAAAGTTTTTAAGGACATCATTTTCAGGTTTAGTTTATGCGAATTATTTTTCAAACAAATTTATTCAGTAATTTATTGCAATTAAATTTTTATAAATAAATAATTTGCACAATTGAAGCCAGACACTTGAAATTAACTTTATTATTTAATATAAAAATCCAAATGTTAATATCCTATCGATTCTGCTCACTGCACAAAATTTGAAATGCAACCGCGCTAAAGAGTATTAAGCAAAAAAGTCCATTTAAATTGGCAGCCACAGTTTGTTGCTAATATTATTCCGTTAACCGTACAAAGTACACGAACACTTTGAATTAGGTTAAAATAAGCGATGCAACTCTTTTTATATAGCAACATTTATGCTATCGCGTTGCCAACAGTGAGTACCAGTAACAACAATAACAACAATAACAACAGCCAAATAAAGTACAGAGCATAATCTTCAAACGCTAACAGAAAACGTTAAGGCAAGTGAAAAAAATCATCAAAAGCACCAACAATAAAAAAAACTAACATAAAAATAATAACAAAATTCAAAGCAAAAAAATAACAATTGTCTCAATTGCGCTCTTTCAAGCATACAAAAGCTAAATGATGAGCTTCTAGATCATCTTCATGACAGCCAACGTCTTACCGCAACTGCAGCGCCGCAGCGCAGCAGCGCAGCAACGTTATGCAGAGCATCTCTAACAGCAAGTGCAATTCGGTAAACTTACGTGCAAATACCTCTGTCTGGCGTTGTGCATAAACTTTAGAATATCAGTTACTGAAGTAGTGTTGCCAATTATTTCACTATTTTTCAAATTAGATAACCGTCTTATGCTAGATGAGCTGAACTCTCTTTGAAGCTCCGTGCTGAGTACACATAAAAAATATAAACAAAGTCAATTGTTAGCAATGCTTAGTGTATTATTATGATTATTTCTTTACTACACGGGTATTGTGTACAGCGTACGTTCATCATGTTTATGTTAATGATCATTATCAGCATCATTGTTATAATCTTCAAACACCTCAGTTATTGTTATTATTATTATTGTTGCCCGCTCTCCCACATTATCAATGTAGCAAGAAGACGATTGTTAACCACGTTAACGCTTTGCCCCTGCGTTGATTCGATTTATTATTGTTGTTATACTGTTATACTTATTTGTGTCGCTATGGATGGTGTTATTGTTACTGTCGTTGTTGTTGTTGTTGTTGTTGTGGTTGGTTGCGGTGTTGTTGTGGTTGAAATTGAAAGTGCAAAAGATTGCCATAATGAATGAGATTTGCGCTTTAGTTCACTTGTATGACTGCGGGCGATCAAAAAGAACAACTTCACTTTATTGAAAGTTGAAAGAATCTTTAGATGAGTTTGTATTGAATTGACATCAACTATTATCTTAATAGTTAGAATGCGAAAAGTGTTCTTATAAATGTATCCGTAAAACCAATGTGTTGGTTATGTTTTAACATTGTGAATAATACGAGTATGTGGAGAGCTCGAGTAAGTACATCTAATTCATCATATTTAAGCTTTTATTGCTACTTAAATTAATTGAAATTCTTTAAAAAATTCTTTTAACTACAGAAATAATTTATTTTTCTAATAATAATCTCAATGTATGTGTCCATAATATAACGTTGCTCTATAGATGTGCTATAAATATTCAATATATGTAGCAAGATAAATTTCCTTGTACTATTAATATAAATATTTATTATAGCCGCTTCAGCTATGTGCGGAGATTCCACCATAAAAAAAATACGTTTTTTGCTTATTAAGTTTTTTAGATGTAAATATTTAAATAAAATTATCTGAGTTTTTCTATTTTGATAGATTATTTTCTTGTAAAAGATTTCGTAGGATTCTATTAGATGGCGCCAGAATTTCTAAAAAATGGACCCTTTCAAAAGGGTACGAAAATCTGAATTTATTACGGAATTATCTCAACACAATATGGTAAAGTGTGAATAAAGCACTGAGTTTAAATATGAATAAATGTGGTACAAATCCAGAAAAGGTTTGAAAAGTGTTGCTGTCTATGGTCTATTTAAATCAACTATATACTGGTAGTTTCCTTAGTTTATACATGACTGAACTTTTTGATTTCAATGTTATATTCGGTGATTACTTCAGAAAATATTAAAAAAAATTCTTTTTATGATATCGGAAAATAATATAATAAATGATTTACTAGAACTAGAAAAGTTTATTGCCGTGTTTCTCATCGTAGACTCAAAAAAGTTATCTGATTGTGAGTGTTTTAAGCGTAAAATAATGATCTTTTTGGCGGTATATAATGTGGATGAAACATCGCCACAGCACTACAATAATTAACTAAATCAACAACAGTTTATGACTGACGCAGTGTTCTTTCCCAGATACCTCTACCTCACTCTCTTATGTCAAGTACGGTTAATGCATGCGCAGCTAGACAACTTCACCAAAGACTCAGTTTTCATCTTCTTCCGTTGATTTCTGATGCAAACACCTTTTGAACTAGAGCATCGTCATCTGTCTTCGCGACATGGAGAAGCCAGTGAGGACGATAAATATCAATTCACTAAGTAATGCTAATGTTGTGACATTGTATATCTCATGGTGTTTCTTTATTTCTAGAATTGTTAAAGTTTGACTTTTAGCACAAATTCGTAATAGATAGTTTTCTGTTATTACTCCAATCAGTGGAGAGGTGGAAGTGAGGATATTTAATATTCAATATTGTTAAATGGAATGTTTGGCTAATGGATATAGGATGCATACATTTTATAAAAATAACTTTTATACAAACATTTCGCCATCAACTGAATACAATATAAAAACTAGTCGATTGTAAATATTTTACTTTATAATTTCATATATTGAAATTAATGGATCATCAAATATTTGAACATTATTTATCGATTTAAAAATGATACTAAATTATTTGTACGGAAACTAAATACGAAACAAATTATTTTAATTCAAAATGATTTAAGTGGTGGAATTTTTGGTTTACTCTTCTGTAGTCATTATTGAAAGAAGAGAGTTAAAAGCTTAACATGGCGGCAAAAGTGATTCTGAACCAAGAAGAACTTTTGGTTCAGAAGAATGAGTTATTACTCATGAACGAATTATTTCCTCCTGGAGATGAACCGTACTTACGGTCTTGATTGTTAGAACAGGTATATGTTGGTTCTGGTTCATTGGGTGGTGTGCGGGGGCCACATATGCGAGGTTGTGGTGGTGAACGTTTTACTGGTGAATGTGAGCGGGAACGAGTTGGAGTATGAGTTTCACTGGAAATTGGAGAAGGTGGACTAGCGCGAATTGGTGAACGACTGTAAGATCGTGTTCCTGAGCGTCGACGTAATTGTTTGCGATTTACCGAGCGACTTCGACTTCGGTTACGACTACGCCTTCGTGATCGGCTTCTATTCCTGGGGCGACTACGAGAACGCATACGATTTCTTGAGCTACTGCGATTCCGCGAGCGCCCACGATTCTTTGAACGGCTACGCTTCGGTGAAACGCTGCGAGAACGTGAACTTGATATTGAACGACCTTGTAATTTTGCACGTTCTGAACGTCTTAAACGACTAAACTTGATACTACATTTGTCCAAATATCTGAAAAGAGTTAATATGTATTTCATTGGACATAACATAAAAGACATTTTTAAAATTTTGTAATCTAGTAATACCTTCTTAAACCACGTGAAATAGGTTTAAGATGTAAAAAATTACAAAATCCAGAACGTGTACATTCACCGGAATCATACTGACGACAGCACGCCTCACGAAAATCAGTTACTGGTGATAATGATGCATAAATTGGACGTCCTCCAAACCAGCGATGATTCAACTCCTCACACGCCTTTGTTGCATCTTCTTCATATTTAAATTTGATATAGACATTTCCAACAAGATGATCCCCAAGATTATCACAAACATGTAACTCAGCTATTTCTCCATATCTCTCCATGCATTCTACATAAACATCCTCGTAAAAGTTATCGTAGTGCTCTTGGATTTCTTGTTCTGTAAGAACATAGCCTAAGTATTCATAGTTAGCAGATTTTGACGAGTTTTGACGATTTATGTACATATTCTGTAGAAGAACAGTTTGCGAGAACGAAGGTTTCGTGTGTATACGTGAACAACGATCACCATGGCGACAAGCACCAATCTTATAATAAAACGAACAATTGACCCTAGAAATGTAACAGTAATTCATAATACTTTATCTCGTACGAAGAAGATAATAAATGATGTTTTTTTTTTAAGAAACAGTGAAGGATCTTAAGTATCTATAGCCATTAACTATAGCTTATGGAAATTAATTTGGTTTGCTTTCCTAGCGAATAGTACAATTTTATTTAGACTGGTAAGGGACACCGTTTTTTAGGGTGTTTATATGGATTTTCAAATGTAAAATACATTTAATAAGAGAACTCATTTAATATAACTTTTATTTTTATTTTATTATTCATATTTATTTAAACTATACAATCTAAAGTTTAAATTTACTTACTTGTCCTTTTCAGTTCCAAAAATAGATGCCAAATACTCCGCCATGTTCTTTCAGATTATCTGAATTTCATCTGCTGCTTCTAAATGTAAAAAAAAAAATTTTATGACAAGAAAATTATGTATTGTGTAATGCAAGGGTTGCCACATATTTGGTTATATTAAGAAATTTATATAGTTATGTGTAAATGTATTTTTTTGTACGAGTATTTAAATATTTCAGCTCTAAAAGCAAAAAAAAATATTGGTAAATTTTGACTTCGATACTTGAATAAGTTAATATAAATCTGCTCAATATTTACAAATAATCTATTTATAATGATTATCATATAGTATTGGGATCTCCTGAATTACTTTGGGTAGTTTTGGGTGAACAAAATTATTGTTAAATGAGTCTTTAAATGGACAAATTTAAATGTAGTATTTAAGATGCGGAGTTTGCTGATCTTAATGTTTACTTATGAGTTGTAGATATGTAATATTTTCTGTTTAATGCACCACATATATCAAGAACTTGAAATTGCTTCATTGACTCTATTTAAAAGTGTTACTAAAAAAGCCGATGACATTTTGTAACTGGTGAAACATGGTCGACAGGT